CAATCCTACTTCCGTAGTGATACTGCCTCGGAAACCCAAGGAGGGGTCGCTATGAGTCAGGGCTGACTCGACGGCACATAACAACATAACAACAACTGGTGACTGGAATGCAAAAGTTAGACAAAATAGAATCACCAATATTTGGATAATAATGGCCTTGGTGATAGAAATGACACTGGAGATTACATGATAGAATTTTGCCAAGACCAATGACTTATTCATTGCAAATACCTTTCTTCAACAAAATAAATGGTGGTTATCCCTGTAAACTTCACCTGATGGAGTACACAGGAATCAGACTGACTACATCTGTGGAAAGCGGTGATAGGGAAGCTCAGTATTTTCAGCCTAATAAAGGCCAGGAGCTGGCTGTGGAATAGACCATCAACTGCTCATATGCAAGTTCAAATTGAACCTAAAGGCAATTAAAACAAACCCATGAGAGCCAAAATACGACCTTGATTATATCCTACCTGAATTTAGAAACCATATGAAGAAGAGATTTGATGCACTGAACACCAATGACAGAAAACCAGATGGACTGTGGGATGACATCAAGAACATCATCCATGAAGAAAGCAAAAGATCATTAAAAAGACAGGAAAGGAAGAAAAGACCAAAATGGATGTCAGAAGAGACTCTGACACCTGCTCTTGAATGGGGAGTAGCTAGAGCAAATGGAAGAATGACAAGATAAAAGAGCTGAACAGAAATTTCAAACAGCATCTTGACAAGAGAATTATTATAATGAAATGTGCAAAGATGTGGAATTAGAAAACCAAAAGGGAAGAGCATCTCAGTATTTCTCAAGCTGAAAGAAATGAAGAAAAAAATTCAAGCCTCGAGTTGCAATACTGAAAGATCCTATGGGCAAAATATTGAATGACGCAGGAAACATCAAAAGAAGATGGAAGGAATACACGGAGTCACTGTAACAAAAAGAACTGGTTGATATTCATCCATTTCAGGAGGTGGCATATGATCAATAACCAATGGTATTGAAGGAAGAAGTCCAAGCTGCACTGAAGGAAATGGCAAAGAACAATCTTGAGGAATTGATGGGATGTCTCAACAAACATGCTGCACTGAAGGCACTAACTTGCCTATGCCAAGGAATTTGGAAGACAGCCACCTTGGACAACTGACTGGAAAATATCCATATTTGTAACCATTCCAAAGACAGGTGATCCCACAGAATATGGAAATTATCAAATATCATTAATATTACATGCAAGTAAAATCTTGCTGAAGATAATTCAAAAACGGATGCAGCAGTTTATCAACAGGGAACTTCCAGAAATGTAAATTAGATTAGAAGAGGACATGGAACCAGGGATATCATTGCTGATGCCAGGTGGATCTTGGCTGAAAGCAAAGAATATCAGAAAGATGTTTACTTGTGTTTTATTGACTATGCAAAAGCATTCGATGGTGTAGATCATAACAAATTATGGATAACACTGAGAAGAATGAGAAATCCAGAACACTTAATTGTACTCATGAGGAACCCATATATAGACCAGGAGGCTATCGTTCAACCAGGACAAGGGGATATTGCATGGTTTAAAATCAGAAAGGGAGTGTGTCAGGGTTGTATTTTTTCACCATACTTACTCACTCTGTATGCTAAGCAAATTATCTGAGAAGCTGAACTATATGAAGAAGAATGTTGCCTCAGGATTGGAGGAAGACTCATTAACAACCTGTGATATGTAAACAACACAACCTTGCTTGCTGAAAGTGAAGATAACTTGAAGCACTTACTGATGAAGATTAAAGACCACAGTCTGCAGTACGGATTACATCGCAATATAAAGAAAATGAAAATCATCACAACTAGGCCAATATGCAGCATCACAATAAATGAAGGAAAGACTGAAGTTGCCAAACGTTTCATATTGCTTGGTTCCACAAACAACACCAGTGGAAGCAGCAGTCAAGAAATCAGACGATGACTATTACACTGGGCAAATCTGCTGCAAAAGAACTTTCTCTTTAAAGTGCTGAAGAGCAAAGATGTCTCTTTGAAGACTAAGGTGTGTCTAACCCAGGTTATGGTATTTTCAATTGCCTCATATGCATGTGAAAGCTGAACAATGAATAAGGAAGACCAAAGAAGAGCTGATGCTTTTGAGTTGTGGTGCTGGGAGTGTTGTTGTTGTTATTTACCATCAAGTCGGACCCGACTCTTATCGAACCCTCCTTGGGTTTCTGAAGCAGTATCACTGTGGAAGTAGATTGCCCAACCTTCCTTCAGAGGAGTGGCTGGTGGGTTTGAACAGCCAACCTTCTGGTTAGCAGTCAAGTGCCTTAGGCACTATAGTGAAAGTACCACGGACTGCCAGAAGAACAAACAAATCTGTCCTGGAAGAAGTATAGCCGGAATGGACACAAGAAAGTCCAGATTTCACCTCACCTACTTTGGTCATGTTGTCAAAAGGGGCCATTCCCTGGAGGATATTATGCTTGGTAAAGTGGATAGTCAGCAAAAGGGGGAAGGCCTTAAAAGATGGACTGACACAGTAGCTACAATGATGAGCTCAGATATAGTAAGGATTGTGAGGCTGGCACAGGACCAGGCAGTGTTTTGTTCTATCGTACACAGGACTGCTATGAGTCGGAGTCGACTTGACAGCACCTAATAAAACAACAACAAGGTAATGTTCAAGCCATCAAATTACAATTCCCTGTACAAGCTCAATAGACTGAGAACTTACATGCATAGATTTAAAATAAAATAACACTTCTTGAAGAATTCTACATCTTGTTTTCTAATTTCTGCATACTGGGGGGAAAAAAACTTCAGTGATACATAATTACTAAGATTTATACCTAAATTTTACTTTATAGGAAAAAATAACATTTTATTTTCAGTAACTTCTGAATGTAAGGCTATCAAAAGAAGGCTTAGTGTCATAATGTTTATGTGTTACAAAAAGAAATCAGGCAGGGAATACTTGTTCATCTTTACTATCAAGTATACAAAAAGATTTTGTGGCTACTGGAAAAACTACATGGTAACTGCAATTAAAAAGATGATAAATGCAGCAACCTCTCCTAATTTAAAATCAACTTGACATTCTGAAACAACAAAACACAGTTCTATATCTCTAAAATATATGCAAGTAAATATACAAATACTTTCTTTGCTCATTTACTGCATGATAACCTATTTATTTTTTTAGATTCTTAGATTTGATGATCTAGTTTCTGCTCCAAAAAAATTAGAGACAACATTATAGGAAGATGAATAATGAAGTCATAAACAGATATACAACTCAGAGGAAAAAATATCTGCTGACAGCAAGGGGCAAAGAGAAACACACATAGTTTTTACTATGGAAAGGAGAAATATTAACTCAAATAACTCATTTAGGAACAAAATATATACACCCAAAAGACCGAGATATTCAAAGAATTAAAATCAAGAAAATAATTTTCTTAATAATGACCTGGGACTAAACCAAAATTCAACTAGAAATTTAATATTTTTAATTAGAGCTGGGTGTGAGGTAGAACAAAGGAAGATTTAAACAAATGATGTATAAAATACAGAATTCAATTAATATACAACATATAACCCAACCCAAATCAAAACGAAAACCACTGCCATAAAGTTGTATGACTCATAGCAATCCCTCCTTGGATTTCTGAGGCTGTATCACTACAGAAGTAGATTGCCCAACCTTCCTTCCGAATATATAACATACAGTACATATGTAAATGTATATGTATTTAAAATGTTAATATAGAAAATATGTATTTTAATCAACTGAAATATTCCTTTGTGAAAATATCATATAAAATAGGGCATTATACATTTCAATCATTATGGTAAATAATATCCCTAAAATAATAAAAAGCAAAAACTCAAGCAAAACAAGTAATTCTTCTTATTTTTTACCTGTTTGATGCACACAATTTCCAGGTACTTAAAAAGAATAAATTAAAAAGTAGCTTATTACCATACTTACCAGTATTGAATATAGAAATTTTGTGACAAACACGACTTCAATGCAACCAACAGTTAAATTAACCTGAATGTCAGCCACATTCCTATCTGTATATGCAGAACCAGCAGTTGCATCCACGTAAGAAACAATTTTGAAGCTAAATACTTCTTTTCCAGTGATATAAACAGCCTTTAAGAGAGAAAATTCCATTAACACAACTCAGTTTTGATATGATATGCTTTTAGCACAAAGCAAAAAAGTAATAATAATAAAACATACACACATATTTTAAAAAGTTTCCAGTTATTCAAGACAATAAATAAGGCAACAATTCCAACACTTTTATTAGAACCTACAAAGTTTTTCAAATTAGTGGTGGTAGCTTTCTTTATGGGTTATGAGATCAATTTAATAGGTATGGCCAGCATTTTATTTAAACAGAAAATATCAGAATATGCATTTTTATTTAGTAGGTATACTGGCACACTGAGAGTATTTATATAAATGTGTTTCTTGGAGCATTGTCAAAAAATGTTTAAAAGCCACTGTATCTATACAACATGTTGAAATCTACTTCTTTTTACTTCACGTACTTGAATATATATTTCCAAAATTCTTCAAAACCGGTCTCCTGCTATCTCTGTGCCTTTATTCTTCATTAGTTTATGAACAGATATATTAACTGCCAACCAAAAGTTTAAAATCTCAAACTCTGCATTACCAGTTACAATTCTGAAACTAACTTAGTTTAATCGCTTTCTTGACTTTTCCTAAATGCTAGAAGCAAAGGCAGAGGACTGAAGGGCTATCAATGACCATATCAACTTCAACCGCAGAACCAAGAAAACCTCAGGAATCAAAAGCTGAGTAAGGTACAAGATGAGAATGAAAATAAGGCTAAAGGAGTTATGCATTCACTTGGTCAAAAAGGTAAGAGGGTCATTCCAACTCTGACAACGGAAAAAAGTAGATAAATAACAAAATAACTCTTCTTGAAACCATTAGGGATCTGAGGTCCCAGGATCTAAAAATCTAAGGCAAAACAGGCTCACTCAATGTGAGACAGGCACACCAGCTCACCTATGGTAGAAGATAAAAGAAAGAGATGCCAGGTACTACACATGCTAGATAAGACAGCCTAAATGATCACATACATCTAGGCAAAAGAGAATATATCTATGACCACATATAAGTTTGGCAGATGATATTTCTACATACATATTTGTACGTGCTGAAAGAATATCCATACACATAACAGAGCTAACAGGGCAAAGTTATGATAACTTCTTAGCCACAGCCAAACACCTTGAGGGAGTGAGTCATTGGGCCCATGGGCTCAAGATCATGGTCGTGGGAGATATCAAGCTCAGTTAGCATAACATATTACACAAAAACACTCTGTTCTACATCTTATTTTGGTGAATAGCAACAAAGGTCTTAAAAGCTTGCAAGTGGCCATATAAGATGCAAGAATTGGTCTCTCCACCTCCAGGGCAAAGAAGAATGAAGAAAACCAAAGATACATGGACACAATTTGTCCAAAGGACTACTGGACCATGGGACTCTCAGCATAAATGATCCTGAGACCAGAAGAAGAACTAGATATCCCTAGCTACTACTGTCAACCACTCAGAAAGAAGTCAAAATTGGAGACCCTGGATAGAGTGGGAGAAAAATGTGGAACAAAACTCAAAATCATAAAAAAGACCAGATTATCAAAGGCATCCAAATTGGTAAGGAAGAAATCCAACTATCCCTATTCGCTGATGATATGATCCTATACCTAGAAAACCCAAGAGAGTCAGTCAAAAACCTACTGGAACTAATTGAGAGAGTTAGCATCATGGCAGGATATAAGATCAACATACAAAAATCAGATGGATTCCTCTACACCAGCAAAGAGATTGCTGAAAAAAAAAAAAATAAATAAATAAGGAAATCAATACCATTTACAATAGCTATCAAAAAAATAAAATACTTGGGAATAAATCTTGCCAGGGACACAAAAGACCTCTAAAAAGAAAACTATAAAAAAACTACTTCAAGAAACCGTAAGAGATCTACATAAATGGAAGAACATCCCATGCTCATGGATAGGAAGATTGAATCTTGTGAAAATGTTAGTTCTACCCAAAGCAATCTATACATTCAATGCAATCCCAATCCAGATCCCATCAACATTCTTTAGGGATATGGAAAAACCAATCACTAACTTTAT